ATTAAAGGTATAAAATGTTGACTAATAAGACTTATATATTTCAAATGATAAGCATTATTAGTGTTATTCTCTATATCATAGTTTCAAAAGTATTTCTCAACTTCAATTAAATTTATGAGATCATCCATTAGGTGATCAAGGAAAAACAAACATTAAAGATAAAAGAACATTTAACCGAATAAAAATATTTATTGAATAAGAATAGGAACATGAAGTAAAGTTAGTTATGTCAATCATTAATAACGGCTCCCTTTATTCTCTCAAATCTCTCTAAAATATGCAATATGTGGAGTGATTTTCTATTCTCTCCAAATCTTATTTTTATAAGATTTTAAATGGGTTTTCGTCAATCGAGCTTGTGATTTCTTATCGCTTAAAGCGCTTAGATGACTCGTTTGAGCGAGTTATTCATAGTATTTTAAGGGTGTCTTTTGAGTTGGCTCACTCAAAGTGTCCACATATGACTCGCTTTGAGTGAATATGAAGTTGCATAGAGTGTGCTTCCCTCTCGCCTCGAGTGAATGTTTCTAGTGTTAGCTTCTTTGACATTAGTTACTTCCTCCCTGTATCTCAAAACTAACAAAAAATCATTAAAAAAAAATACCAAAAACTAAAAGAACTCTACTAATTAACAAGATAAAATTAAAATGCTAAATTTTGACAAAAACAAGATTCTAAAGCATAAGATATACTAGATAATAGAAGGTTAGGTGACAATTTGAGGTACCAACAATTGTTTGTGATACCTTGTTAGCGTATAACACTTCTAATTTCTTTTATATATCCTTCAAATAAATGTTATATACATATACCTTAAAATGATCATTAAGAACAAAAAATAATGATGATTTTAAATACAATGATTAAAATTAAAGAAAAATATTTTACCGTGTACAAAAGTAAAATTTTATCATTTTATGGAGACTGAAAACAATATTTACAAGTTTTAGAAAAATAGAAAACAAATAAAAAAAATAATAGATACCAAAATCAAAACTCAATCATTTTATAAGACCTAAAAACATATTTAAGCATAAGTTTTTTTCTAACAAACTAAACAAGCAAGATTTTAGAGTCAATGATTAAAAGTTACTAACTTAGTTTCTAATCAACTTCTTTTTTCTTATTTTATTTATAAAAATTAAAATCTTAAATATAAATTAATTGCTATAAATAATTGGGTTAAACATGTTTTTATCCTCCAAAAATTGGTTCTATTTGGTTTTAGTCCTTAAATTGTTTTTCCTTGATTTTAGTCCTCCAAATTTATATAATACCTATTTTTAACCATTTTTAAATATTGATAACTTTTTATTGACATGAATTTTTTTAATTAAAATTATTAATTATTTCATGGTTAAGTTAAGTTTTAGGATAAAAACTAATTGTTTACTTAAATTTTTTTACTATTCACTCTCATACGAACATAGGTATGGAGGTTCTAGTAATTCTCATAAACATTCAGTTTCATGTCTTTGTCGACAACCTTCTAAGTTCCAAACTTTCAATTTTTAATGACACTTTCACCCTTAGTGACTCTCGAAGCCCTCAACATGTGAATTACTCTAAACAATGCTTATTCTTCTCCATCCCCGAGCTTCAAGATGCTGCGTTTCAAAAACGGGAGGCCCTTGACTTCCTCCACTAAGGGTGAAAGCAAAATAGAGAAACAAAAAACAAAATAGAACACTTTTGGAACCATCATGCTTGGTCCGAGAGTGAATAGTAAACAGTTTTAGCCATAAAATTAATTTTACCCTTAAAATTAACTTAATAAAAAAATAATTAATATTTTAAATTAAAAAAGTTCTATGCCAGTAAAACTAATGGTGATTTGAGTGCAAAGGTGACCTATTTTAACAACAAAAGTTAGCATTGTTTAAAAGAGATTACAAATAGGTGTATAAATTTGGAGACATAAAATCAAGGAAACTTTTTTTCTAGGCACTAAAACTAATCGGATCAATTTTTGGAGGGCCAAAAACATATTTAACCTTAAATAATTTCATATATCTTATCTTTATAATGTTACTATGAGAAATATATTTTTTATATAATTCAAGTAAGATAAACTATATATTTAAAATAAATTATATTTATAAGGAGATCTAACTTAGTTGATTGAGCAAATGTATGAGTTATTGTAAATTGATATTGTCTTCAATAGGAAATAAGCTTAATTGAGTTTAATAATATTTTAACAATCTTAATATTATGAACAACCATGTTTGTTAATATCTAAACCATTGAAAGATAACCACATGTTCCTTAAAATAAGGAATTATGATATAAATCTCTTCACTATCTTTAAATCAAGTAACTACTATTTAAATACATATCTTTTATTATATTTTTTTGGTATATATATCTTTTATTATACTTTAAGGAACAACCTTGATTTTTTTATCAACAAAATATATTAAAAAAGATACGATGAAACTCGTATAGTTAGTTATACACTCATTCATCTAAAAAAAAGGAGCATTAGTTACATTTTAACATAATTCACTATTATCTTTATAAAACTACTGCTAACTTGAGCATTGAAATGTTTTTGTAAATAGACATGGGAGGAAGGATCCATTAAATTCTTGCCCAATAATGTTAAGGTATTTTCAAATTTTCAATAAAAAATTTATTACAAAAGTTGAGTCCAAACTTAATCTTAATGTAAAAAAGTTGATTCTGAGCTTAATATCTTATTAAAGGTTAATTTTGAGTTAATTTAACAAAAGTCGAGTCTAATCCTTTTCTACAAAGAGTCGAGTCCAAGCTTAATTATATTAAAGACCAAGTTTGAACCTATTCTACAAAAAGTCAAGTCTTAACTTAATTTTATTAAAGATTGAGATTTGAGCTTAATTTTATTAAATGTCGAGTTCGAGCCTATTCTTTAAAAGTTGTTTTTAACCTTATTACAGGCAAAGTTTTAGCCTATTATACAAAAGTCGAGTCTTAGCTTAATTTTATTACAAGTCAAGCTCAAGCTTAATTTTATTCCATGTTGAGTTCGAGCTTATCCTACAAAATTCAAATTTGGGCTTAATTTATCATAGGTCGAGTCTGAGCCTATTTTATAAAAGCCAAGTTCGGGTTTAATTTTATGACAGGCTAAGCCTAAGCCAATTATACAAAGTTGGGTCCGAGCTTAATCTTAGTACATGATGAATTTGAGCTTAATCTTATTGTAGGTCGAGTAAGTTTAATTTTATCAAAGGTTGAGTTTGAGTCTATTCTCTGAAAGTTGACTCCAACCTTACTATAGGTCAAGTTAGAGCCTATTATATAAAAGTTGAGTTTGAGCTTAATTTTATTAAAGGTTGAGTTTGAACCTTTCTACAAAACCTGAATTTGGATTTAATTTAATTATAGGCTAAGTGAGCCTATTCTACAAAAGTAAAATATGGTCTTAATTTTATTATAAATCGAGTCTGAACTTTATCTTATTATAAACCAAGTCTAAACCTATTCTTCAAAAGTCAAGTTTGAGCCTATTTTACAAAAAGCTAAGTTCGAGCTTAATTTTATTATAGATTGAGTTCGATCCTATTCTACAAAAGCTAAGATCAACCTTAATTTTATTAAAGATGGAATATGAAATTATTCTATAATAGATGAATTTGAACTTAATTTACTAAAGTTCTAGTTTGAGTCTATTCTACAAAAGTTGGGTCTAACTTAATTTTATTAGGTATCAAATCTCAGCTTAATTTTGCTAAAGGTCAAGTTCAAACTTATTCTAGAATGGTGAATTCAAATTTAAGGTTGAGACCAAACCTATTATCTAACAATTGAGTTCAAAGCTTAATTCTATAAAAGGTTAAGATTAAATCTAAACATCAAAATACATCATAACCAAACTAAGCTTGAGTTATATGAGAATATTTTAAGTTACTTCACTATTTTAAAGCTTAGAATTTGAGAAACTTGTGTCCAAAAATAAAAATTGAACATAAGAACCTAATAATATCTTAACAATCCTAATTTTATGAATAACTATGCCTATCAATATCTTAAAATAATTAATAAATAACCACATAATCCTTAAAAATAATAAATCATAATAAAATTCTTTTTTATTATCTTTAAATTGAATAATCCCTGTTAAAATAGTCATCCTTTATCATAATTAAGAGAACAACCTTAATTCTCTAATCAACACAAAATATATATATATATATATATAAATATATTAT